AGATAAACTGACCGCCACCTCGTCGTACCATTTTCAGATCGTAGATGGAAACACGAAGACAGGCCTGAGCAATCGAAAGGACCCAGGAATGTACTGCGGAGAGTTGGAGCAACCGCAGACGTTCATCTCCGAGACGAGTTTCGTTCGCGTCATCTTTCACGCGGAGAACTTCACGGATCAAACGTACTTCAGCTTCGACACCAGGACCGAGCAGCAGTTCGGGGAGTATTTGAGGCATGGCCAACATCCGGAACTTTACCCGAATCGAAGGGGCGAGATCGTGCCCGGGAGCTACTGCGAACGGGTGTTCAAGGACTGCAGACTGCAAACGTGTTACGTACAGAGCCCAGCCTATCCTGGTATCTATCCTCGCGCGTTGCACTGCAAGTATCGCTTGAACACGCGGCTACCTTTCATCAAGCTCTACATAGAGAACGAGGAGTTCAATATCGACGGTCAAAGATGCGAGAACATAATGACCTGCCCCATGAGGCCCATAAGCTCCGGCTCGGAGCACTGCCCGTACGATTATATACGCGTGTACGACGGCAAGGACAACAACAGCCAGGTGATCGGCACTTTCTGCGGTATGGGGAAGTTCCCGTACAGCATAATAGGCACCAGCGAGGACCTTTACGTGGAGTTTATCTCCTCGCCGGCAGGACCTCTTCTGAACACAGGATTTCACTTCAACGTGGGCAACTGGCCTGGACATATGGAGACCGCAGGCGTGAGGAACGGTAGCTGCGACTGGCTGCTAAACAGCGAGTCCCTTCACACGGGCAACGAGGGGATATTCCTCTCTGTGGCTCACTGGTATCCACCGCACACCAGCTGCACCTACCTCCTAAAAGGTCGAGTTGGCGAGATCGCTAGACTCTACTTTCCTAGTTTTCGCGTGAACCGAATCGAGTCGCCCATACAACCCTACGACGGCGACTGCGGGGAGAGCCTGACCCTCTACGACGCCGACTGGCCAGACGACGCGAAGATCATCAAGACCTTCTGCGACACGTTCAGCAAGCCCATGGAGAAGCACGACTTCGTCTCTAGCTCCAACGCTCTTTTCGTCAAGTTCGAAAGCAAAACGGGAAGCTACTCCGGTAGTTCTCTCTACTATTGGGCTCATTACGATTTCTTCAACGCGACGCGATTCGGCGAGCCCGTGGTTGGCACGGAGTGCGACGAGACATTCGCCTCTTGGAAGTCGCGCTCCGGACAACTTCGATCGCCGTTAAACACCCTTGTTTACAAGCGATCGGGGGATCCGCCCGCCGATCTCTCCTGCACCTACACCTTCGTCACTGATAAACGACTGTTCGCGCGCGTCATACTCACCGTGGACTCTGTTTCCTTCAAGGAGCATCCGTACGCGCAGTGCGGCCACTGCTGGGACAGTCACGTGGACCGATTGATCATTCGCGAGCCGCCAGTGGTCAACGGCGATCAGCACTCCTACCAGAGCCATCAGCAGCAACAGCAGCAACATCAGCGCCAGCCGTACCAACAGCAACAAGACAACAACAAAGGTCACTGCATCTGTCGATCGTCGATCGCCAACGGACCCACCGTCGAAGGGAAGCCAGTGGTTCGCGTGGTCTCGCGCGGAGAGAAGCTAGAGTTGAAGCTGCTGGTGGACGGCACTCACGCTGCCACCAGCTACTTCAAGCAGCCCTCGCCCTTGTTCGAGGCGAGGTACGAGTTTGCTCACAGTCCCCTCTGCGGACCTACGATTCTCCCAGCCGCCACCGACGGCGAGATAGAGTTCCCTCATTACGAAGCTCTCGGTTACGTATCCCCACCTAGGTCTATAAAATGCATCTGGGAGCTGCGCGTGAATCGGGAGAGGGACGTCTGGTTGCACTTCGACAAGATCAAGTTCGCTTCGAGATCTTGCGAGGACGGGAAGCTCGAGATCTTCCTGCCTGGCAGCGCGGAGCCGTTCCTGGGCATCTGCGGCGAGAACGTGAGCTACGTCAGAGAGATGCCCATCATCTCAGCGGCGCAGATCGCACCTGGGAATCGAGCTAACGGTGACACAAATTCCAACACGGATCCCATGCAGTCGCAGACGCATCAGCAAGGGTATTCTCCGCCACAGATTTCGTCGCCGACCGATCACCAGCAGGAGGACTCCGAGTGGCCTGCCGTGATTATTCAGTTCACCGGCTCGATGGCTCCAGCCAGAGCCGCGTTCAAGATCGCTTGGACGGAACTCTATCATCTGCCTCGCGACGCGTCTGGAAACTTAAACACGCAGAAACTCGAGGAGTTCTGCGGGTTCCAGTGTCCTGGCGACGCTGGTTGCATTCCGGCGAGGCTCCTCTGCAACGGAGTGGTAAATTGTCCGATGCCAGAGCCTAAGTCTCTGTATCGAAACACGAACAATGGTAGCGGACTGTTGGCGATAACAGAGGAACCGAATGACGAGTCCGCGGAGACATGCGGCGCGGATGCCGTCGGTGGTCGCGGGAAGGCTGCTGGATCTGGCAACGGGATCGGAGGTTTGGCTAGTGTCGTTGGCTCTGCTGGATGGGCGGGTGCTAGCTTAGGCGCCAGCCTCGCCGTTCTTCTCGGGCTGGCGTGTCTCATCGCCGTTTGCAAGATCTGCAGGCGTCGGGCCACCCCGAGAAACATCCACGTACCTTATTGACACGAACGCAAACACGAGTACGAGCACGGACACGGTCAGAGGTACACGGGATTCGTAATCGCCGTTTCATTTTCTTACCTTGTTTTATCGAGAACCCTGTCCTCTTCTGCGGTACATAACGAAAGATGCTCGCGTCTGGTTGGCCAGACGCTGCTGCACAGGTGTTTTCGAACGAACGCTATCACTCAACAGGCCGTTTGATTACACATTCGTGTGCACGTGCCATCGAACCGAGCGTTAAACCTTTGAGAGGAATTTTTATCGCTTCGCTCGTTTTATCCGTGCCATCGAGCGAGAAAGAGGAAACAATGGCAAGTCAGGTGGATGGCTGATTAAATAGGTAGATAGCTAGAAGGTAAGTACCGTAGGAGGTTATACCCTATCGGCGGTGAAGGACCGTACCGAGGAAATCGTAGCACAAAACGCGATAGAGACCAGGCGAAACCAGGTGAATGGAAACGTTAAAGCAACCGAGAAGTACACTCGTACGTTTGTCTATTCGAGCCGAAGCATTTCAAACGGGATCGATCGAATAACTCGAACTTTTCGACTTTCATTTTAGACGATTAAATCTCGTACGATCTTGTTTGTACAACGTCGCGTTTTCATCTACATAAACGTTTATTTAAAACGTGTATTATCAATTGTACGGAAATCTGTTTGAAGATGTTGCTAATAAACTGCTGTAAACAACTGACGATATCGTTGTAGAAAGAACAAGAAAAGATACCGTTCGCATCGGATTTACGCCTCTCTCGAAATCAATCAAGATTCGTTCAAAGAATTTTCATCCGTCGTTAAAAAGTAACGAGTTACTCGGATGACCTGATTCAAGTGCCTCGATCCGTATAGTTCGTGCGGTTACAATTCACGCGATTCGGATCTCTGGCCAGCGTAGGTCGCGCCCTTTTAAATATACATATAGTACGTACAATGTATTCGCGTTACGTTAACAAGAGTGCCTGCGAATGTTCGTGCACCAGCGCGTCACGCGCTCGATAATGCGCGCACATTATTCCTTGAGAATATGCCGAACAAAACTTGTATATATCGAGGGTAGGAAGCGTCGATTAATTTTATAGAATAAGCGGCTCCAAAACCAACGGCCACCAGGCCAAGCGTCGAGCGAAACGTGTTCGAATGGCTCGACGGTAAGGTCGTGTTCTTTTGTACATAGTTCGCGTTACCCAATTGAATTCAAACAATATCTTAGAAGATTAGTAGAGGACTAACGAATCTACCTACGTATACAGGCCGCGCAATAGTGCGCGCGAACAATGACACAAGCGCATGCAACGTACGCTCCGTCTCTCGAAAGTTGCAGAGGAACGATCGCGATGTAAGTGACGCGTTCGTCGTGCAACTTTTCCGTAGAAGAGTGAGTACTTGGGCATACTTCACGACGCGACGTCTACGTCTTTACACGCGAAATGTAAACGAGAGACGACGCGACGCGACATCCGTCGAGATGGATCCATTTCTTATATCGTTGGTTTATTCGTTTCATCTCTGGATAACGCTCGTACCTCTGATACAGCGTTGGGCAAAAATGTAAAAGAATCACCGCGTTACGTATTCGTTTACGATTGCTAAATTACAGATGTATCGTTGTCGGGAATTAATCACTGCCCAACACTACACCGAAACCATTCCAATTATACCATACTTACGCGCCTCCCGTACGTTAGTTTACTGATTTTCTCGCTCTTTTTACCGTTTTGTACCGTTAATATCATGCGTTCAACGTCGTAAAGAAACAGCGCGAACGGCGTCGGTGTCGACGTTGGTACACATTCATATCGATGCAATTGTTATTGTTGCGATAATTTATCGTCGCTATCGTTACTCTTAGGATAAATAATATAGTTATCGTTACGGTTACGTGAAACATCGTCGTTATGCCGTTGCTGTTACCACCGTTCTCGTCGTCGCCTGTACCACAGTCGCTACCACAGTTGCAATCATTATCGCTACTGCCAGCAGCGTCGTCATTATATTATTATATTTTTTACAAATAAAGAACAACCTCGGGGACACGAGGTGAAAGAAAACGTTGAACGTCGTTGGTCCGATTTCGCACCTTGGTGGCCTTCTATATAGAACAGTGTGAAAGTAAAGAGATATTGCGATAACGTAATATCTCCATGTGCGAAGGGCCTCGATGAATATATTCAAACGAAAAAAATTGAACCGCGATAAAATACAAGCAGCTGCAAATCACTTTCGCAGAATCGATATATTTTTGTTTACACTCGTGTTCCTTTAACCCTCGTTTACGGTACAGTTCGTTCCTCTGTTCTCTCCTCTAATCGAATTCCAAATTATCAAGTACACGGTGCACAATCGACTGTGAAGAAGCAAGATGACCGTTAAACGCGCGGGAAAGGGCGACCGTGTGTTGCGGATCTCGAAAATGTCACCCGTTCCAGCTCACGGATTGATTACCGAGAATGTTTTAGTGCCGATAGCGAAGACCATTTTCACAAAGAAACCCGGAACTGCTCGTTCAAATCTCTCCCAACGAAGAACGGAAGTTATCAAACCACGAAAACCCAGCGACAACTTTATGGTACCGCTTTTGAAACGACCCTCTCATCTCCCAGCGAAGAGATACACGAGCACGGTTCTGCGCTCCGAACAGGTGTTCCTTATTTCCATACTGCGGATTTTTATCTATTTATAGGAAATTCGAATGTCCGAGAAACTATCAAACGAACACAGTACGCAGTAACGTGAAAGAATATCGAAAGTAATGTTTATATCGTTATATTTTCCAGAGTAAACTAAATTTTCGTTCGAGTTCAGTTTTGCTATGTACGCTTGCTAAGATTTCATTTTTCATCAAGATCCGCGGTCTACTTATCTCTGTTCTCCTTTTATAAATAATAAAAAAAAAGACAAGAATTAAAATACGCCGGTCGATGTGTTTTCAGAATCACGGTAACGCGAATTGCCGCGAGAAGAAGACAATCTCAAAGAAGAAGCAGTTTCGTTCGATCGATAAAAGCTCGACTTTCCCTGCGTTTGGTCGTTTCGAACATACTTCGCTAGATAAGAAAAAATCAATGCTACCGTTTCCCTCCACGATTTACGATTTACCTGCCGCCACATTCGAGAAGCGTGAAAAAATCGTTTCAACGAGTAAATATCCAACCGAGGCCAATAAATGGAACGGAAGTCATCGGATACGCGAAGAAGAAACAAGGACTGTCGGTCACGTGGTATCGGAAGTTTCAAACGACGACAATACCTGCGAGAGCGTCAGCGACAACGTCGCCTTTCAATCGTTGAGCGATTTACGAGAGATCGATTGGTTCTCCGCGGATACGTTAAAGACGATATTCGATAAAGAGATGCAAATGATGGAGATTAATACTTCGAATGTACCGATTACGCTAACCGTCGCAGCGGCATCGACGGCAACGATAAAAACCAATATCTATCCTTGTAAAGAACAACTAACTGGCCCGTATCATAACTTCGCATCGACGAATACCGATAACGCAGCGAAGAAAACATTGTCGAACATCATTCCCCACAGTAAAGAATCGCAATTTCCCGCCAAATGGAACGCGATGAATGCTTCTAATCTACATACAGATCAATTTCTCGAGACGAATAAAACACCAGGTATATTGGGAGATACGTGTAAGGAGATTTTGAAATATACGGATCGGTCGCGTCTGTCCTCTCTCGCAGAGAATAATGATAAATTAAAAAATGAGCACCCTTGCAGGATAAAGTATTCGTGGCAAGTACTAGGTAGAGGCGCGCAGACATCGCGCACGCTTTTGGAAAGTTTAACTAAGGAAAATAATCAGGAAGAATCGGTTCACGACTGTTGCATTAAATATTCTTGGCAGATCATTGGGACTGCCACGCAAACATCTAAGACAGATTCAACTGCTAAGGATTGCAGGTCCGCTCTTTCAGTCTTATCGCCGAGAGCTAACGCGAATCGTGGCAATACCACAGGAACAAATAACGCGTTACCAGTTACTGTTTGTCGTAACGGCAAAAAGTTCTTTATACTAAATAACCAATGCACGCAAACCTCTGCTCATAAGGAGAATCAAACTAATTTGGCTGAAATTCATGGAAATCATTAGATTGGTTTGTAATTTTTGAGAAATGACTGCAAAAGGTAGCAATCGGCTCATGTGGATGTGAAAAATTATTACCACAATTTTCTCCCATCCTTTTATTCTTTTACAGATCGCTTTACAAACTCAATGGAAACTTCTCACCTATAAATAGAAAACATTTGGACATCTAAGCATAAAAAATATTTCGTGCGAAACGAACATAACATGCTTTTCCTATTCCAAAGTCAAGAATCGTTTATTCGTTTGTACATTCCCAGTTCTCGTGCAATATATTCCAACCTGGAAAACTTACTCGCTACAATATGATGAATAAATCTGGTAGCAATTATATAGGTTTTATATTCAGAACTGGAGCAAGGAATGTGCACGTTTTGAACGTTTACCTTCACTTATGCTTCCATTAATTGTCGGTATGCAATAGAGTTCTTAGAAACTCGTGAGGTATCATGTGTTAACGAGACAAATAAATGTACAACCACAGGCACCTTCACGCACATTAACTTTCAAACATTATCCGGAACATCCTCTGCAACCGCAATGAATACATTCCACTATTCTACCTTCTTCTAATTTTCCTTTAGGAACTCGACAAATACAGTTTGTTCCAAAATTGGTGTCTCTGGTTTGTATACACCGTAAACAACACAAGTTTTCATACCCCACTTTCTTCCATTTTGCTATCAAATTTTTATCTGCTATGTTTTCATTCAAACAATAATCATATAATTCTGAAAAAAAGAATAACATAGTGAATATAGTTTACACGAGGATAATGGTAAGTTTGTGATAATACTAACCGCGACTTATGGCTTTCCGTCTGTAATATAAATCGTATATGTAACGTGATTTCTGATGGTGGATTTTGAAAATCGGCCACAAAGATTCTTGTTTCCGTTTGCCTTCGTGAGGTTCTGTTTCGGCTGTAATTCGAAAAATGATTATGAAAGAAACTGTCCTTTAAATAGTTAAAAAGAAAAATATTGTACATTACAAATATAACCATCGTGCAATATCGTTGTTACCTTCTCGCATTTTCTGCTCCAATTCCTCTAACGTTGGTTCGATCAATTCCCAGCCATCAGGTGGAGGCTTCTTACTTCTTCTTACTTTTGGCATCTTTCGATTTGTGTAAATATTATCTTTCGAATACGTATGATACAAGCTTACGCTAACGATCTTCCCAACAAAAATAGAATCTGAATATATATAATCACAGAGCAGTTTAAGAAGGCAAAATAGGTTTAAAAATTAGTACAGTTTCATCGTCACAAGATGGCTATGTATTCCATCTGTATTCTGGACTACTCCGGAAAATTCTTCTAACGATAAATGAATGAGGTCTTGTCAGATAGATACCGGCGATTAGGGGATACGCGTTTAGCCATAGACTATAAACTCTATACAAATGTCTAGAGGAAATCTCTCTCTAGAAAATATCTTTTATTTTCTATTTATTAAACATAATTTTATTCGACATCTTTATAGATCTGTCGCAATTTCAACTATTTAATTGTATTATCAAATTCATTTCGTTGAATAATGATTATTCAAATTCACCAGAATGTGAAGGTGGAGTCTTATGAATCAATTCTGAGTCATTTCATACGGAACTTTAACTATTTATATTATCGTTCCCTCTTTGAAGAAGTATTATCTCTCAATTGCAATTTCTGAAGTTCATTTGTGCTTTGGAACGGTCCACACATCCTTTAAACAATTGTAAGTATTGCTAGCTACAAATAAATATTGAATTTATTCTGTACTTCAAATTTTAAGCTCATTAGTGTTTGTGCTTGTCGTTCATTGAATTTTCGAATAAATTGTTTGTGTATAAGTAAAAAGTGATACGAATCCGAAACGCAAACTTCATATTTAAATGCCCTACTTCGATAATTGAATTCCGTTCGCGCTTTGCAACAGTCTTTTATTCGATCACTAACCTAAAAAGTAAAAAATGACGTTGCAAGAACCGCCAAAAATGTTTTCGTTTTTTAAAAGAAAATTTCACTCCAATATGTGTAAAATATCGCCGATCTTTATCAGCAGCATCACGAATATAATTCTCGAAAATAGCCCGAATTATGAAGCCTGGGAGAAAGGTGACGAAGTTTTGCAGTCGTTAATTTTACGAGAATTATGTTCAGTTTTACGTTTGAAATAATTTAACGACTTTGAAACTGCAATGCAGGTATCATTGTACCGTTTCGTTAATAATTTCTTTCCCTAATTTTATGAATTCAGTTTCTAGAACTGAGGAAAGAGTCATGACTGTGACGAAGGAACAAGTTAACCAACTCATCGCTTCCAACACAGTAGTGATATTCTCTAAAACAAAATGTCCATATTGTAAAATGGCTAAGGAGGTAATTTTTGTTCATATATTATTATTATCTTGATTATAGTAATATATATTACTCTACATTCTGTTTATTCTGATATTGTTTTAGGTGTTTGATAGCTTGAACCAAAAATACACCGCCATTGAATTGGATGAGAGGGATGATGGAAATGAAATTCAATCTATATTAGGTGAAATGACTGGAGCTAGAACGGTACCCCGAGTATTTGTAAAAGAAGTATGTCTAGGAGGAGGTACAGATGTGAAGAAACTGTACGCCAGCGGAGAACTTCAGAAGAGATTATAATGTACACGCCACCCGATCCTGCTTTTGCAAGAATTATTTATACATTGATTTGTTTTATTTAATGTAATAAAAATTGTTACTTAAGTAACCCACGAAGATTGTTGTAATTATTATTGAAACGAGATAGACTCTTTTAGATCAATTGATTAATAAATTGAAATATGCACAGGTAATTGAAGTTATTCATAATTTTCCTTCATTACGAATTTTGATTTTTCTTAAGATTTTATTATATACAGTTTAATAAGGATAAAAGATCCAAAAGAACAAGTGTTCAGAGAAATGATATCGTCCGATAGTTCGACTCGAAACTTGAACAATTTTTTAATAAAATTGCAAAATTACGAGAAACACGATACGATAATGGAAAAATAATGATTAGGATTGGTTTGTAACGTATTCAAATTACCATCAGCAGCTAGGTATGAAATGCTGTGTATATACCGTGTGACGAAAGGTAATCGTAAAAACTATTTCGTCGTTGGTGATTAAGAGTACACGATCGTGCACACGTATGCGACTCGATTCACCTAAAAATATCTACAGACCGGTGAAACAGTGGTGTCAGTGGTGCGTGGACAACGCGTAAGGATGGATTTTTCTCAATATCGAAAAATCCTAGTTTACGTGTTGACGTTTCTAGCTTACGCATGGTCTGGCTACGGAGCTGGTTTACTGTCGAACTTAAGGGACGCCGTATTGGCAGCTGAAACAGTTTTCCAGGATTTATTTCAGAATGCAATTACAGTAGCAAGGAAAATCAAGGACATACACGAAGTGTTTGACGCAGCAGTGGAAGAAAACTGCATTTTCAAATGTCCAGGAGGTAGGTATAACCTGTTATCGATTATCATCATTTTTACGCCGAGTTATCTCGTCTTAAAGCTACTCCACAATTCTTTTAAGGTCGTATTACAATTGGTTAGAATCTATCATTTGATAACGTTTTGACTCGCTCGGCTTATCTACATAATAAATTAATTTTTTTTCCAAGCCACGTTAACTCGTTACGTAATTGTAATTTACACGTCTAACAATATCAAATACACCACGCAATAAAATTATAATTTAAGAAACTTTGCGTATTTATAGTGAGTGACGAAGCGTATGACTATCATGTATGTTCCTCTGACATGGTTACGGCCGATTGGTCGTTAATTTTTAGCGCGAATATTTTGATTGCAGGTATCACGCCAAAACCAGATTGGAATCATAAACCACAAAGCAATGGATGCGGCTCTTTAGGAATAGAGGTGTGAACATTTTCTGAATCAGGTCACAGTTGTCTTTAGTGAAAACTATGTACATCGAAATCGAATTATCGCATCGTTGCCAGATTTACCATGAACTAATTAGACGTATTTATCAACTGATTTGGCGGGAAATGTATATTAATTAATTCAATTGGTTTCAGATAAACCAAGAATACTTGCCGTTAGCGGAAATGACCAAATGTTGCGATGCACACGACATTTGCTACGATACCTGTAATTCAGTGAAGGAGAGCTGCGATTTGGAATTTAAAAGATGCTTGTACAGATACTGCGATGGATATCAAACATCCGCTATCATAAACACATGCAAAGGTGCCGCGAAAATGCTGTTTACAGGCACGACTGCTCTGGGATGTAAGAGTTACATGGACGCGCAAAAGGAAGCCTGTTACTGTGGCGATAAATGGAATAGGAACAAGAAACCTAAGAAAGCTGCTCAAGCTGGCGGAGAACTGTAAAATTATACGAATCTCTCGGTTTAAGTAATTCACGTGGAGCGTGTCCCATACTCTGTTTACGAAACCTCTAGCCATTAAGTCTGTGATTTTATACTAGTTCTGCTGGCGCTAAACGCGAGATAAATTTGAAATTGTACGAGGTCCTAACATTTTATACGTGACCAATAAAATCTGATTTTACCACCCAAAGGAGTGTCCAATATTTTCTTTAACCTGCTCAGAATTATCCGATGATTGTACATTTTTGTTTGCCTTTTGTTTCTCACGAGGAAACAAGAGAACAGTGACAATGTCATTTCGACCACGGTTCAGGCAAACTTTCTCGATATAAAAAATTGTCAAGTAATGCAGCGTACACGATAAGGATTTTTTTTAGGAAAATAGCGAAAGTCCTGCGAGAAGAAAATGGGGAACACCAAATCCGCACAGCCACCCAAACCGCGGAAAGATCGGAAGAAGGAGCAGGCCGACGGGTAAGACAATTTATGGTTCTTTTGGTCCACTTTGATTGGATCAATTTTGGCTTCTCTTGGAGCGTAAACCAAAAGTTTCTTTTGTTTTCCTATGTTCAACGGATGTTTAAACTAAAAAAAAAAAAAGAAAAAAGCACAGAAATACAAAAGAAACCTTTGATTCGTCTACAAATAAAATTAGCGAGATAGTGACTTGGCTGAATCATTAAAGATATAATACATAAAGGCGTACCTTGCATTTCTTCATTTTGGGTAGCGTAGATGACCGTCCCCGAAAGAACAAAAGGGCTGCCAACGCTTCCAACAACCGCACCAGCAGGAGCGAACGGGTAACGTGTCGATGTACTAATCCCTTCATCATCTTCTTCCTACGCTTACGCAGTAAGACGCCCAAGGAGCCCGTGACCGTGATCGCACGGGCTGCTGGCAAACTGTGGACTAAAATGTCCCCGGAACAAAGAAAAAAGTACATAGACCTGGCGAACGCTGAAAAGAAAAGACGTCAAGGAAAAAGGAAACTAAGATTGAGGTGATTACCGCGGTAGAATTAATTATGTCTCTTCGTTTACTTCGTCTACGATAAAAAATTGTCGTTCCAGAAAAAGAAGATAGATAATCAACAAGCAACGAGAGATGCTGAAGAAAACCAACGAAGGATTTGTTCAGCTACTAGTGTACGGGAAACGCAGTCGTGACCTCGTGCAGTTATCTTGAAAAAAGTCCATATTTTTGATTTCTTTTTATTTGTTAGTAGTTTTTTTTTTTTAGATCTATGTACAATAAATATTGGTGTATTTTTACACTATTAATGACCTTTCTTATCCGTTTAAAGAGTTACGCTAAAAACCAGGCAGCGAGTCTCTGCCTTCTCGCACAAATTCTTATCGTCGTGTCTCGTCTCTGAAAAAATTGAATTCGTAACGTACCATAAATATATTATTATTATTATTTCGTTCGCGACCGTTCCGCGAAGCGTCGCCGACGCGAGGGAGGGAAATTACAATTCAAAGTACACGAACGAGCACCATTTCTCTTTTTTTTTTTTTTGTTTGTCGTTTTGTTTATAAATTTTCCCACAGACAGGTCGAAGGGAAGCGCGCGAGACTATTCCTCTCGCCTTTTTCTTACTCTTCACGATTCGATACAAAAAATAATTTTAGCATAAATTTTCGCGACGCTCCGTGGAAGAGCTTCCTATGTTACGCAGTCATAACCCTTCTTCAAACTAGCGTGTACATGTGTACACGTGTGTCTGTGTGTGCCTCTCGTTCAAAGTACCTAGATTATAATAAAAACATTACATACAATAGGGAGTACACGAACGAATACGCGCGCGCGCGCGCGCGTGTGTATGTGTGTGTGTGTGTTTGTATAGTTTGCCTGCCTGCGTGTTTTCGCTGTATGCATTTGCAACGTGGCATCTGAAACCGAGTAAATTAACTGAATATCGGGGGTGGTTGGGTGTTGGTGATGATAATAATAGTAATTATAATATTAATAATCATAGAAATAATAATATTAATAATGATAATAGTAATCATAGAAATAATAATAATGATTCACGAAAAAAAAAAAAGAAAAAAAAAAAGGAGCGATATCGCGTTCAGGGTTGCTTAGGCGTGGATAACGAGAAACTGAGGGGTGTCGGGTCGATGCCGATGATAAAAATTACGAATAACGGTGAATGGACAACGTGTACGCGTCGACGGTGAAACCGATTTGACGATCGTGATAATTAATTCGTAATAATACAATTCGAATGATCGTAGCAGTAAGTATTTTATGATACAGTAAAGTACAGCGTGCCTCGAAGAAAACGTAAACAACAACGTTCAACAATCGATAATATCAAACAGAATATTCTTTGTAAGTATTTATATATATATATGTATATATAATATATATATATACTATTATACACAAAACGTAACACTGTTGCGATTTCAGGAGGGAATGCCCTATTTAAAAATAGGTATTCGCTTTGTCGATCGTGGATTCAAAATGGGAGGAAAAAGTATACATATATAAATGTATATATATATATGTATACATACAATGTGTGTATAAATGTGTGTGTATGTGTGTGTGTCTATGTGTGTGTGTGTGTGCACGCCTGTTGTGTATATATATATATACATATATATACGTATATATATATATATATTTTTTCACCTTGATCGATCGACAGATCAACGCTCAAGGTACATATTAGTTTCATAAATGCACAAGTTACGAACCCATGCTTCGCAATTCACTATTCGATACCGCGATTGTATCCCATGCATATACATGTATCGACAAGTTAAGAATCCTTTTAATACGAACTCTTCGGTTATTGGAACGCACAAAGCACATCTATCGATCACGCGTGGTCTGAAGTGCGTTCGAGTCTCCGGGATAACTATTACTATCAAAGAAAGAAAAAAAAAAAAAATAAAATAAAAATTAAAACAATGCGTCGAATACGTTTTGACAGAGTGCGCTAGGCAGAAAAACCGTGGTTCAGACACGACGGCGGAGTAACGTGCCTGTAAATTGATACATACGCGATTCGTTTGGATAGAAAGATCAGTCTACCGTAATAGTTCGAAAGATGAACGAGCGTGGGAGTAAATGCAAGGGAGTAACGAGTGCTATGGTCGGGACAAAATCAATGCACCGCGTGCCTAGAGATTTCAATGAAGAAAAAACGAGACAGAGCGGACTGTACAGAATGAAAGTAGTAGGTTCTATCGACAACTCTCGACAGTTTGGTTGATCTTGTCGCGACTATAGCTACGACGGTCACTCGGAGTTACCCTTTGCGTTGTTGGAGATCGTATCGAAGAGAGCGTTAACTTGTCCGACGTGATCGTGATAGTGTGATCGTTGCTAGGTCGACGAGCCACGAAGAGTCCCCGTATTTCTCACGCGGTTTCGTCGTTGCTGGTTAGGGGAGACTGTGCGTTCAGATCAGTGGGGCTAGCGTGGCCTCATCGAACTGTTCAGGGGCTGCATAAGGCCTCCGTTAATGTAACCGTGATACGTTGTGTACACCGCCGCTGGATTCTGCTGATGAGGATCCTGGGGATACGTAGGTACGTTCACAACTCCCACTGGGAGCTGGCTGGCCTGGTTCATGAAGCCACCGAGTTGCGCTGCTTGATTCATATAGCCAGTGGCGGGTTGTGCCACTCGGTAGCCGTACTGGGCCATGAGATTCGTGTTCAACGCCACGTTTGGACTGACTCTGCTGGCGGCGCTCTGCATCTGGGGACAGGTACTTCCAGGATCGAGGGTTTGCCTGTACAGGCTCTCGCTGGGATACGGTTGAGTGAGCGACGCCATGTTCGCATTCGCAGACGACCTCGAGGTCGATCTACTAGGCGGTCCAGGTGTCCCTGGCGGTGGTACAGTATTGACGTTGTAATAGTTCTTCGCGTAACCGAGAGGTACTTGAGGCGGAGTGGGCAACTGTCTCGACGTTTGCGGCGGCGTCATGGTGTGCGGAATTGGCGGCGGTGGCGTCAGATTCATCGCTGGCGGCGGAGTAGGCGGTATCATATCCAAACCGTTCGTCAATTGTTGCAATTTCGCTAGGCTGCAAGAGTTGGTGGTCTGATGATTTCCAGAGGCCGACAGGGAAGGCGCCGGCGTGTGCGAATGCGGAGGCATGGCGCTAGTCTGTATGTAAAAGTTGGTTGCCGTAGTGCAGGGCGTTGGAGCGCCAGATCTGCTGCTCCTATGCTGTATCACGTACGTGTTCTGTGTGGGGAAAGTCTGCGAGGCGACGGCCATGTAGTTCCCTTGGGAGATAACGGCCATGTTGTGCGAATGAGCTGCGTGCGTATGAGAGTGCGGATGCGGTACTGGCGGTACGCTCATCGACGAGGACTGTTGGTACTGCGGCGGAACGTGGGTTGTGTGCGCCACCGTCGTGTGACTCGTGTGAGAAGTCGTGTGTTGAGAAGAGGTTTGGGTATGCGGCGTGGGAGGTGTGGTTCGATGAGATCTGCTACTCTGTTGGGCTGACCTCGACCTGTGGGTGGTCTGTGAACCGCTGGCTCTCTTATTGCTATGAGATTGCGTTTGCGACTGTTGCTGTTGTTGCTGCGGATGCGGTGGTTGTTGTTGCTGCTGCTGCTGCTGCTGCTGTTGCTGCTGTGGTTGGGACTGACTGTGCGCCATACTTTGGCTCTGCGTTTGTTGACCCAACGACAATTGTATCGGTTGCGGTGTGTGAGACTGAGGCAAAGGTTGGGGACTCTGCGTCGGTATACTCTGCGGCGTGTGAGACTGAGGGATCGGCTGAGGCGTGTGAGATTGAGGAATAGGCTGCGGCGTGTGAGACTGAGGCATCGGTTGCGGCGTGTGGCTCTGAGGAAGCGGCTGGGGGCTCTGCGTCGGTATGCTTTGAGGCGTGTGCGACTGCGGTGTCCTGGGCTGCTGAAGAGGCTGCGGCGTGTGAGGCTGATGCATCGGATGAATGCTGACGTGCGCTGGTGGGGTATGCTGAGGCATCGAACAGTCAGCGTATTGAACTTGCGGTGATATATTTACAGGCACGGAAGAAGCAGGTGTTGGTATCTGCATGGGAACGGAAATCGGAGCGGTAACCGTAGATGGCATCGATGGCACTGCGCTGGGTGGCCTCTCGACGCTGTTTTGAGACGCGAGGTCGCTAGCTATCGAGGTAGGAGACTCCAAACCCAGTTGACTGACGTCCAAGTCGCACTG